GGGTGAACCAAGGCAACAAGTTAAAACTGAGTGCTAAAGTCTATACTTTATACGTTTTTAAGTTTGTATCCTTACAAAGGTACATGGCATGGTGAGTTGTTTACTAGCAAAATACAATGGTTTTGGCTACGTTCAGGTGGAGAGAAATAATATATGTGAGTCACATAAATTTGTGGCTTTCTAATAAGAAACTTTCTTGGCTGACTTCTGTAGGCATTTGCAAATTCAAAACCCATGCTTTCTGGCATGATTAAGTTTATTTCCTGAAATGCAAATGATAAGAAAAGAATCTTGGGCTTAAAAGGAGCTAACTTAAAAACTGCAAATTTTAGAGTGACATATGTTCAAAATGTCATATGATTGATGGGTGTTTTTGTATTAGAAGGGAATAGCTGTACACCTTTGAGATTAAGAATAGTCCTCAGCGTTAGTCTGGTATTTGGGGTTTTTGTCGTTAGGTGGGGGCTGGATGAGGCACCCACTGGTCTGGGGAGAGGTTCACAGGGGCCTTGGTGACTCCTGTGTGACGGGAACCACCTGACACCTGAGAAAAGTGAGAATGTTTGCCATTGTCTCTTTGTTCCCATTTGAAGCGAACATAGACACCCATTCAGAATACAGACGTTGCTTGTTGAGCTCTGAGTCCCTTTAAGCGTAGCAGAGGTTTCTCGGTGACATAAAGGGCATGTTCCAGCTACTGCAGTAGGCAAAGAGCATGGATGGTAACTTGAACATCAAGAGGATGGCAATGGGCGTTGGTTGTTGTTAGTGGGGAACACTGATTTCTGCAGAAGTGCTTCCCGAATTGAGTATCAGTTAAAAGAACAGGCTGGCAGGAGAGGCGCTGTGCCTTTAGCTGCCCAGACGTTTTGCTGAGAAGCTGACTGGTCTCAGGTGAACCTGTCTGTTCTAAGTGGCTCTGTTAAACCGGCTGTTTTCACCAACTGTGACACTGTTCAGGAGTCTGGAGGAAAAGGCCTTGCTTGGCCTCGGGCCATGCTTCTATTCTTCTTGCTTAATGTGGAGAGGAAATCTCAGGTGAAACCCCCAGGAGAAAATGCCCTTGTGCATTACAACTTATTTTCCTGGTCTCAGAGAATCTAACATAGATGAGTTTTGGTGTCTTCCTGATTTCGGCGTGTTTGGCCAGCTCCTGGCATGCCAGGGGGCTGCATTAGTTTCTGAATTGAAGCATTTGTGCTGTGACACACAGTTTTCTCCAGGAACAATTTGCCAAGCTGTTTAAAAATCACAAAAGAAGAAAGGGACAGAAAATGTACCATTAAGTCATTCCATGAGATTTACAAAGGCTTTAATGAGTTAGAGATGGATGAAAAAGCCTTTTTTGATTCACTGAAGATATCCATCTGATTAGAAGAGATTTTCATCACCTTATCAACTAATCCAATAAATTGACTACCCATTTCAAAATGACTCCAATTGGATTCATGTCCATCAGAAGGATTTTCTGAAAACCTCAGAGTATTGTATAAAAATGAGAATTATTATCAAATTGCCACTGGGTAAAAAAAAAAAAATGTACCAGATCCTGATAAATCTAGAGGATCAGGGAAAAAAATGCCCTGAGCTGAAAGGTTACCACAAATCAAAGTTCAGACTGCACAGTTCTCTTCCAGATTATTGTTTATCAGGAAAAAAAATCCCTACGAGAAAATCAATTTTTGGTAGCTCATATACAACTATTTCATGAGGAACTTGTTTGGTATGTTTCTTGCTAACCCCATACAGACATGAAAAAAAAATGAACGTGGTTTTGTGTATCTGGAAAATATTTTAAAATGCCATACCAATGAGATAGTTAATGTATGGGGCCAGCTAATCAAATTTCCAGTTTTTGGCTGGTGTGTGCCCCAGTCTAACGGAGTAAGATTAATGGAGTGTTAAAAGTCTGTATGAGCTTGTCAGTTTTATGCTGCAAATAGGGTTAATTTCATCCAAATGCAGAAATTTTAAAAATTAATGTGAATAAAATAAAGCTTATATTCATCTTTGCTTTTAAGAAACCTACGTTCGTAGGACCAGGCCTATCCAACTTGCCGGCTAATGGAGAAACCCAGGGAGGAAAGAAAGGCTCTCAGGGAATAGAGCACCATGAGGTCAGCTCCAATGGAGAAATGCCAGACGGTGAAATTTAGAAGCAGATAATTTTACCTATCGGAGCAGCCAAAAGCATTTATTTTGGGCCAGTATCTGATACTACACAGGAAGACAGGCCCCCTTTATCTTTGCTCCAAATCACTTTTTTTTAAACACAGTCTCCCCAGGAAAACTGGGGCGAAGATATTTTGTCCTTTGTGGAATATTTAGGGTAATACGAAGGCATCCTCTTAAGCCATCTCCAGCATTTCCACAGTCTGGCTTTCGTCCATCTATGTGTCTACATAATGCCAAACACTTGGATACTTGGAGACAACCAGATGTCTGACTGCATTCTTAACCTGTCACTCAAATGGTATAGACCCAGGCTGTGACTTTGTGTAGTTTGAACTGGGTGGTAGATGAGTAGGTGAGGGGTGAACAGAATTTCCCCAACACCTTTTTTTATTGCTCTGTACATTTTGTTTCTCTTGAGATCACTTCAGCTTAAATCATGGAGGCATATATTTTTAGACTCCCCCAAAGATGGGAAGTGCTTACACTGCAATCTACATAGTGTTACAACTGCTCAGGATGATGCGGGAGACTGGTGTGAAATGTTTGGGCAGGTGCACCCTGAGGAAAAAGGGCACTAAGACAAAGGGCTGGCTTTATAAGAACACAGTTGATGGGGGCGTGACTTAATGAATGACATCGCTCATCAATTATCTCCCATATTTGGACTAAATACCTTCTCTGCATTGTGCCTTCCTTTCCATACTTTATCATTAGAGAATGACTCATTTTCATTAATGAATGTCATGTTGTGTCATATTTCACCCAAGAGAATGGCTATGAACTAAGCATTGATTCAGGGCCCTGAATCTATGTTAGGCCTACATCCTGAGGTATGGAGGGGGAATGTGAAAGACTGGAAGCCAGGCGCGAGTGAGGGGTCTAGTGATAAGGGGGCAGCGGCAGGGAGGCAGTGAGAGAGCTGCAGACATGACCAGTGCCAACACAGGAAGGCACCTGTACTGACTGCACTCTCACCTCCCCCGGTGCTAGTGGCAATCTCCTTCTCTGTGGGAGAGTCTGCAGGCCGGGGGCCTTGTCTTACTGTCCCATGGGCATTGTTGCATGCCCAGCACTTTGCCCAGAACCTAGCACATAGTAGACGCTCAGCAAATGTGTTTCAAGAGAATAAATGAACACACACACACACGCACACACACAACTGTGTGGTCTGAAATCTTCTGGGTTGAATTTCAAAGACTCTGGGCTCAGAGGAATTTCAGGAAGTCATGGAGTTCAACTTACCTTCAGCTCGCACTCAAACCACACCAAGAAATAGCTTTCACTAATTTGCTTTTTAAAAATCCCCACATCCTTCCCTCAAAGCAGATTTCAGCATCAATTAAAAATCTATCTTGAACCCTTCCCTTTGTGATTCAAGATCATGTTTCTTCTTAATAGAAGCAAGCCCTGGCATCCTGATCCGTCTTTTAAGTTTTCCAAAAGTTTTCGCATGCATTTTGCGTTTCTCTCCAGAACAAACTGCCCAGGACACACCGGCCGTTTCTAGATTACCTTAATTAATTTCAAAATCTTTACATTTTGGTTTCTCATTTATAAAATGGTGATGGCCTGAACTTTGCCCTCAGCAAATTGCAGGCAGAGAGCAGGTCCTGAACCCTTCTCTCTTGAAATGGAGCCAAACCCAATTTAAGGTACGTAGAGATTCTGGGATTGTCTTGGAGTCAACAGATGCAAGAGCCTTCCGTGCACCTTGCTTTGATAATGGTGCTCCGTACGCGCCACCACCGTGCTTGTTATCTGTGGAGAGCCGTGTAGGCCTGGGCTTTGACAAGTGATCCCCAACTCTTAAACACGCCACGGATTTTCAGTGTTGAGATAGATTTTCTTTCATCACCAGGATTCCAACATATAAAACTTTCTGATAATTTTCTAACCTGGCTGGATTGTGGGATAAACTGTGAGGCTCAACCCTTTCTGAGAATAAACCCAGGACTATCCAGTGGCTTTGTGAGATCATCCTCAGTAGGTACATAACTGTTCACCATTTTTGAAAATGACGAGTTTCAGGGAGATTGTAATGTGAATGTAGGTGAAGGAATTCTGGTTTCCTTCCTTCCTTCCTTCCTTCCTTCCTTCCTTCCTTCCTTCCTTCTTTCCTTCCCTCCTTTCTCTCTCTCTCTCTCTCTCTCTTTCTTAAATTTCCCCTGTTACCATGGGCAAATTTTACCTGAAAAGCATATTTGACAATGTAGATTTAGAAATGGTCACACTCTTCACCTTTTAGAAGATTCAAAGATAATTCTCTGAGTTGCCAGAAGATAACTTTATACTCGAGAGACATGGATCCCCTGTACATTATTAAGTTTATATTATTTAACAAAATTAAAGTACCAAAGGGGAATGACTACTCCAGTGATGGGTTTGCTGGTATAACAGGGGGCTACAGGTCTACCTGTGAGTACTGGGCACGCAACTTTCCAGAGAGAAAAACAGCCACAGAGACCTGAGGGAGGCAGATAATACATGGCTACTATGCAGCATGAGCAGATGGCTCATTCCACCAGCTTTAGTTTTTAAAGTTTAATTTATGTATCAGGGTGGGGGGGGCAGGATTCCAACTGCTGAGTCATCGCCTCTGCCTCCCGGAGTTGGCACTAGTGGGAGGCTGGAGTCAGGAGCCACAGCCTGGAATTGAACCCAAGCACGCCAATGTAGGTTGCAGGAATCTTAACTGTTAGGCTAATTGCCTGCCCTCCCGAACCTTGGGCACAGCCCTCAGATGAGTAAGCTAGAAATTGGCCAGCTGCTGTAGGAGTCTCTTATTGGGCTTAAAGCCTTGTTTTCCTTTTCTAGCTGTACGATCTAAGACAGAGGGTACCTTATGCAGCGTGGGGCATTCCAAGTGAATGCCATTCCTTAACGCTTGGCCCTCAGCCTCCGGAAAGACCAAAGCAGTCTTAGTTAATCATTCTCCTAATTTGCTCCAACCACTGTTGAAGCACTTTTCCTACATGTTCCTATGGTGACAACCCTGAGGGACTGTGCGAGTTCTCTGCTTTGTGAGGAAACGTTGACTTTCAGAGATGTTAAGTAATGGACTCCTAGATGCACACTTGGAAACTTCCAGAGTCAGGACTCAGACCCTGATTTTTCCAGCTTCTGAACCACAGGTCAGGTTTCTTCCATTTGTTTGGAGGGTGGGGGAGCAGCACCAAGGGTTCAAGGTCAGCCAAGCAGAAGCAGTGCTTGCCCCAAGTGGTGTGTGTTCCTCTCAGATGGGGGCTGCCCCCGTCTGCTTAACCTTAGTTATCTTTATAGTCAAAATAAGCAAACAATTCATTTTCCACTTTTCTAGCTTTTATGAGCTAAGTAGTTTAATAGAAGCCCAAAGGCAGCCTTATCTATCCTTGTCTGTTTCATGAGCGGAAAAACTTGAGCTTTGAATTCAGGCAGATCTCGATTGGAAACTTTATCCTGGTTAAGTGACATGAGGCCAGCTACTCTCTCTTTGTAAAGGCCCCTGATTTGTGAGCCATGAGAACCTTCCAGAAAGTTCAATATTTGGCAAACAGTAGTAGCCAAATAAATGATAGTTTTTATTATTATATGTTTAATGCTAATTTGTATTGGTTATAACAGTGTTTTTTTTTTCTTACAAGATTTCTTAAAAGCAGAGTACCCATTATTTACAATAATTATTTATAGGATTTTTTAAAAAAAAGATTTAATTATTTGAAAGGCAGAGTTACAGAGAGAGAGAGGAAGAGAAAGACCTTTCATCCTCCAGTTCACTTCTCAGATGGCCACGAGGCCAGACTGAAACCAGGAGCCAGGATCTTCTTCTAGGTGTCCCATGGGGGTGCAGGGCCCAAACACTTGGGTCATTCTTTGCTGCCCCTCCCACGCCACTTAGCAGAGAGCTGGATCAGAAGTGGAACAGCCAGGACACAAGCTGGTGCCCATATGGGATGCCAGCGTCCCAGGCCCATATCGGATGCCACCCCCCCAGGATCAGATAGTTTTAAAAAATATCTTTCCGCCTTGCCCTCTGATTTGTTTGACTATTGAAATCCAGTTAACCCAGAAGGGAGATTCTGTGAAGTGCACTCTGGGAGTTTAATCATTAACACGACTCCTCCTCTTTTCATAAAGGCAATAAACTTGTTGCTTGTGAAATAGTGACAAGGTGACTTGGTAAACTTAAATCATTTACCATATTGGATTACATATTTTGTTAATATTTAAAAATCTTTGAGGAAAGATTTCTGATGACTGCCTCTTACTATAACATGTTTGACCTGTACATCAATTGCTGAATGTCAGCCTTGTGGGTAAAAAAAGATGCAAGTAAAATCACTTACAGACAACAGGAAATTGTCTTGACATAAAAATTGTGTGACTGCTACTACTATAGACATACTGATGTCTCATCATCATCTCTTTTTTTTTTTTTTTTTTTGACAGGCAGAGTGGACAGTGAGAGAGAGACAGAGAGAAAGGTCTTCTTTCCGTTGGTTCACCCTCCAATGGCCGCCGGGGCCGGCGCACCGCACTGATCCAAAGGCAGGAGCCAGGTACTTCTCCTGGTCTCCCATGCGGGTGCAGGGCCCAAACACTTGGGCCATCCTCCACTGCACTCCCTGGCCACAGCAGAGAGCTGGCCTGGAAGAGGAGCAACCGGGACAGAATCCGGTGCCCCGACTGGGAGTAGAACCTGGTGTGCTGGCGCCGCAAAGCGGAGGATTAGCCTAGTGAGCTGTGGCGCCGGCCCTCATCATCTCCTTTGTTTCGCTTCTCCTGGCCCAAAAGCCCTGGCTTCCAAGCACATTCTCCAGTGCATAATGATTGCACGCCGTCCCAGCCACAGCTCTCCTGATGGGTACCTGTGCCAAGCACTGGGGGTCAGTAAGGTCGTTTGTCTCCGCTCTTAAAATCTCAGCATTGCAAAGTATTCTTGTGCTTGCTTGTTAGTGTGCTCGTAAAATGATTTGCTGTTTCAGCAACTTGTAGACCAGTGAGACAGTGATATAAAACCATCAGGTATCACAAAGTAATGTCCTTTTATTAACCGCTGAAATATATCAAGACATCTCATGCAACCTACAATGCCAGATGCTATTATTGGCCTAATGGTTTATTTGTTTGCACTCTCTTGTACTTAGCTCTTTCTATATGCTTACTGTTCCTTTTGTGTAGATTTTTAAAATGTCTGGAGCATCTTAACTTTACGACGTTTATTTTGATACACATATATTTATGGGTACTTGGTCGGTTTTTCAAGTTTCCCATGTAGACATTATTCCATAAAGTTCAGGCTCTCCTGGGGTTATGAACACCTGACTTAGAAGGATCCTGTGTTTGCACTTGTTTGCTGTGGGGCCCTTCAGTCGCCTTGCCCTGAAGATACTGACTCTGTCACCACCAGCCTGCTTCTGACTTCCAAGAGAAATTGTCTCAGAGGATGCAGTTTTCTTACTGCTGGTATCGAATCTCTCTTTGCTCATTCCAAGTCCCTGGGTATACTTTCTGCTTTTGTCCATCTCAGGTCATACTTGACACCATTCTGGGCACTTTCCCCCAGTCTCCTTAATCTATGTCATCATTTTGACTCTTTTCCCCCCATTGTCTTATAATTCTTGCTTAAGGTCTCTGCAAAGTCTCTCTCATCTGCCTTCTCGCCCTTTCCTTCCTTTTGTACTCTGCAATTGTGAGCCCTGAAAAAAAACTGCAATCACAGCCGAAGGGGAGTGGGTGCACCACCATCAGGGAAATATGCGGCCTTCATTTGAGGAAAAGAAATCAGACCTGATGCAGAAAACCTTCAGAGACCTGGAAACTATATTAAATGTGTTTTTCTCCACATTTTTTTCAAGATTCATTTATTTATTTTATTTGAAAGACAGACAGAGAGAGAGAGAGAGAGAGAGAGGTCTTCCATCTGCTGGTTCACTCCCCAAATGGCTGCAATGGCCAGAGCTGGGTCCATCCGAAGCCAGGAACCAGGAGCTTCTTCCAGGTCTCCCATGCAGGTGCAGGGGTCATCTTCCACTGCTTTCCCAGGCCGTAGCAGAGAGCTGGATTGGATGTAGAGCAGCCGGGACTCGAACTGGCATCCATATGGGATGCTGGCACTGCAGGCAGCAGCTTTCCCTGCTATGTCACAGAGCCAGTTCCTCCCCCCAAACTTTTTAAAACTCTTCATCTATTCCTCTTAACAAACAAAAGCCACTTCTTTTCCTCAAGATCCAGGAGGCTTATTAATTAATTTTTCCCATTGCATTTCATTATTTAATTTATTTCTTTGCTTTGTTCATTTCCCAATAAGTGTAGTATTTCAGGTAAGCATGCTCTTGATAGATTTGTGCAGAGACCCAAGCATTGCCGCCCCGTGTTACCATAGGCAGATGAGTTCGAGGTTGTAAACAGATGGCCTCCTAAGGAAACTGGGATCTGAAAGGCTGATCGTTTATTGGTTGGTGCAGATTAAATGATGCTAAACCAGGGTGGCAAACAACGGCAGCATGGTTTCTCCTATGAAGCATGCCGGGTACTTTTAGAAGAATACATTGAAAGGGTTTCTGCCTATATGAGTTGCTGATGACTGGTAAGGAGAGGGATGCCAGAAGTCTCTTTTCCCCCTCATTTGCCCCCATGAACCTACCCTGATTTGGTGTGTAGATATCCCTGGTGCTACTTTGACCATACAGGGGTTCCCACATGGCAGGCAGCTTCAGGACCTAATAGATCTACCCCATGTGCAGCAGAAAATGTCTACAGAAATTTCTTCACAAAGTTCAGAGGAGGATTGGCCTTTACCCTGATGGCATGAGCGAGGGAAGTACATAGGAGGGTACTTCCACACGCCTGTGGACAATAGAATTAAAAGATGCTATTTTGATGGGAATTCATTTTGAAATCCATGCAGTTTTTTTTCATAATATACGTTTTCCATGACCATTATGAAGACTTCTGGTCTTCCTGTTTGTCATATTAAATTGTCATAATTTTAGTGGCGGGGTAAGTGGGGTGCTGATGTCAGAAGAAAGAAAAGGAGGGGTAGGCCTTGAGCAGAGGTTAAACTATAGATTGGGATGCCTGCTTCACATCAGCAAGAGTGCCTGGGATTGAGTCCTGCCTCTGCTTCTGATCTAGCACCCTGCTAATGCACCTGGAAAGCACCAGAAACGACCCAAGTGCTTGGGTCCCTGCGCCCACATAGGAAACCTGCATAGAATTCCTAGTTCCTGGCTTTGGCTCAGTCCAACCCTGGCTATTGTGGGCATTTAGGGAATGAACCAGCAGATGGAAGATCTCTCTTACTCTGTGTCTCTTCTTCTCTCTCTGCCTTTCAAAAAAAAAGTAAAAAAAAAATCTTTAAAAATAAAAGAAAGAAAAGGAAAAACATGGCACAATGTTAAGACTAAGAATCTTGATATTTTATGAGTTCATCTCTCTTAAGTTTCATGCATATGATGATTTCATGTCATTTACCCCAAATTCCTATCAAGTAGATAGGACAAAAATTAATGTTTAGAAACTGAGAGTCAAACGTTTAAATTGTTTCCTGAAGGTCATGTGGTCAGAAGGAGTCAATAGAGGTTGGAATGAATGACAGGTTAGATACATGGAGAGTGCAGTGGAAACTATATCTCAATTATTTGTGAATTGTTTAGTCTCATAAAATGTAACTGAGCTTTGCCGATGACTAAGAAAACCCCGCAGACATTTAAGGTGACTTGTGTTTCTGATAATTAATTCACGAGTCCCACAAAAGCTCTACAAGTCACACTAACGTTGCTTTTAATAATATTTGAAATGCCCGAAGTTGGAATGAGATGCAGGCTTCCAAGGTTTGAGACTTAACTTAACCGTAAAACCCAGAAAATTGGAGGTAAATTTAGAGCCCCAAAGATTGGGACATCCTGTGAAGTACTACTTTTATGTCTGGGAAGAAAAGCTATTTTGGGATATAAATGGGTGGAAATCAAACATGATGGAGAACCCTCTTTGCTAAATGTTAAATATTCAGGTCATCTTGATGACCCAGTGCAATTCACAGTAAGACCAAAATGCAGAATGTCTTTTTAGCGGTAGCAATGATAAACAAAAAACATCATTGCAGGTGAACTGAAAAAATACAATTTTTGTAAAGGACTAAATGCTTTTGGTATCAGAAAAAAAAAAAAAACTTCAGAGGGCAAAAAATGGCATCTTTTGTGAATCTTTCCTAGTGTCTCTTCCGTCTCCTTGATGAATTCCATTATCACAGAAATGACCTTTCCAGTTCATATCTCTTTTGAGGCTAATGCAATCTTTGCCATTCTGTTATAATGAAAGTATTACATGGATAACTATCCAGCATTATCTTCCAGAAGGAGAGCTAATTTGGGAAAGAAATGAAGTACTTTAATATAATATCTGATCTTTCTCATTTTTTTTTTTATCCTTGTAGAGACCTACTGTCTAGAACTAAGCAAGTTCATGTCCATGGTAAACACACTCGGCTCTCTACCTAATGTAAAACTAATTTTTATGATCACATTCATGGACAGTTGTCTGTTTCCTTTACAGAATAAAGCCTCCGATAAATTCAAAGGCAGAAGTTGCTGAATGTGCTACAGATACCTTTCAGTTAAATTTTCACTCTTGGAGTTGTGAAAACTAAAAATATTAAGATCTGTGGCACACTTCCTAGAGACAATGCGCGTCTGGAACACCTCGTGCCTGCCTCTACCTGTGAGAGCGTGAAACGGCTGGATGTGGCACGAACGCTAATTATATACTCTTGTTAATTGTATATGTCTTTGAAGTGGTGGCAAAGTGTAACTCGGGGGATGGTGGGCGGAGCTGGGAATCAAGAAGAGAGCTTCCTGAGACAGGCCCGAGCGTGTGCGAAGGTGGAAGATTTCGGTGATCTCTGGTGCCTTCCTTCGAGACCCTGGCGCTGGTTTTCAGTCCCTGCTGAAGAAATCGGCGCCTGGGGAATGCAATCAGCGATGACGTCATGACTTGAACCAGGTCACGCGGCTTGAGGTCAAGGCCTGTCACATCCCCTGCCTGGGGTCAATTTAATGGGTGTATTAATCCCTGCTTGTTCTGTACGGTAATAAACTTCTTAATGTAACTCCTCAGAAGAGGTAAAACACTTTGTAAAAATACCTTTACTATTCCACTCCTTATGAGACAATTAGCTGGCAAGCGATTTTAACTGCTATCTTGTGGATGTTGAAATTGAGGCTGCGATTTTAAATAGTTTACCTAGGTCATAGATGAGGTCTACAAAAACGCAAATTAAGCAAAAAATTTGGAAAATGGACAGCAACTGGATTGAACAAGGGCCAATGTAGTCACTCAAACCCATGGTGAATCAGAACTCGTGCCTTTGATTGTTAGTAGGTCTCCAGTGTTGCAGAAATTAGCCGCTGCGTAAATGATCTTTTTAGAATTATTTAAGTGTGAACTTGTCAAAGTTTTCAAAACAATGAAAAGAGTGTAATATCAAAAAAGTAGAGCACAAAAGCCTCATTTTTGCTTCATATAACTGTCAAAGAGTCAGGGTGCCTCTCAGACATTTCTCCAAGCTGCCCTTGTCATGTTAATGTTCTAAGGTTATACTGTTTATTTACAACTTGGCAAACCAGGGCAGTATTGAAAGGTAAATATTTATTTCCCAATTTGCTGTTTTTTCTCTTTTTCATGTGCAGAATATAATTTTGTGCTTTCTACCACTATAGCCTTTCTTTCTTTTCCATCTGTCTGTCTGTCTTTGCATGAGCTTGGGCTCCTACATTTTACTTGCCATTGAGTTTGGTGGCATTAAATGCTAAGCACCCAGCAGCACTCCCTCCGTGCCCCCCTCTAGCACCTGCCTCCCCAGAGAGGCCTCCTTCCTTTGCCCGGATGCTGCAGCTTCGGGCTCTGTAACTCAGCGCCTCCCGCTCAGTCCTCCGGCCCTTAATGTGCTCTTTCATCTCCACGGTCCTTGACACCACACAGACATCCCATGTCGAAATCTCCGTCAGAGTCTCGACTTGTCTGCTAGACTAAACAGAGACGAGGAAACAGGTAATGACAGGATTGAAACATGGTTGGGGGATCTTGGGAGGGAAAAAGAAGGTAAGAAAAAAATATTTGATGAACAACATAGTCACCCAAGCTTGTGGTGTCTCCTCAGAGCTTCCCAATGTTTGGAAGTTTTCCCAAGGCTTGCCCTGGTGAGACAGAAAAGACTTATTAGCTCATTGCGTCTGCTTCTCCACCTGGGCAGGAAAGAGTCTCCCATACGGGGAACATATGGCTTGGTCTTAGATTAGCAGCAAAGAATGTCAGTTGGCAGACAGATGGAGGAGAAGCGGAGGATTGTGTGAGTGTTGCTAGCCTGGACTCCAACAAATGGATTTTTAAAAATCACATCCAGTTAGTTCCGTTATGAAAATAAACACTGGCCAGCCGGAGCAGTGGAAGAAGAGTTAGCATTTATGGAACACACGTTGCAATCTAAGTGTGGGGTTTTACGGATCTTTCTTGCTAGTCCTCGCCGGTCGTTTTCTTGTCTCCATTTTACAGATGAATAAAGTGAGGATCAGAAGTGTGTGGTCATCTTATCCCAGGTCACGCAGCCAAGTCCAGTGGCAGAGCCCAACCCCCCACCCAGGAGTTTCATTTGAAAATCAGTGCTTTTTGGAAGAGGTAAATCAGAGATGGTAAAAATGGCTTCATATGCTTCTTAGCTACTTGTTTGATTCTTTGGAACCCAAATAAAAGGAAACGCCCCTTCCTGCTTTCTTCTCTCCCCCTCTTCCACCTTTTCTTCCTCTCCCTTGCCACCCTCTCTTTAATTTTAAAGATTTACTCAATTATTATTTGAAAGGTAGAATGACAGAGAGAAGAGAGGTCTTCCATCTGTTGCTTCACTCCCCCAGTACCTTGCAATAGCTGAGGCTTGGCCAGGCCAAAGCCAGGAGCCAGGAGCCAGGAACTCCATCTAGGTCTCCCTCCTGGATGTTGGAACCCAGGTCCTTAGGCCACCATCTGCTGCCTCCTGAGTGAATTAGCAGGCATCTGAAATGAGATGTGCGCATCCCAAGCAGCAGCTTAACTCACTGTATCACAATGCATCCCACCCCCTTAAATTGTGTTGCTGTAGCTGCTACACCCATTGCTTCATTTAATGAGAATATAGAAGTAGGCTTTGGGGAATGGAAACAAGAAAGAGGACATGGAAAGAAAGCAGGAATGAAAGAATCAGACCTGATAAAAATTCACCATCTCACCCTTTCCCACCTGCTTTTTAAGGAGGGAAGACCGTTACTTCTTGGCTTAGATTGGGAGCTCGTTGGGCAGAATCCAAGGGAGGATGGGGAGTAGATATTGATTCCCGAAGAAAAGGAAGGAAGACTGCAGCATTGATTTTCGTAATGAAGGGAGAGAGGCTGATAAGGGGGAGGGTGTAATTGTGAATTCAATTTCCTTTTTCTTTTTCCCTATGTACTTCTGCTACTATGGTCTTTTTGTTTGCATATTTATTTGTTTATTTATTTATTTTTTGGGGGGTAGAGAGAGAGAGATACTGCCATCTTCTAGTTCACTCCAAAAATGCTTGCAGCAGGGACATGCTGAAGGCAGGAATCAGGAACTCATTACAGCTCTCCCATGTGGATAGCAGGGACCCAAGTACTTGAGCCATTAACTGGGTCCACCTAAGAAGGAAGCTAGAATCGGAAGCAGAATGGGATGTGGGCGAACCAAGTGGCGTCTTAACCACGGTGCCAAACAGCCAACCGAGGGTTCATTTTTTTTTTTTTTTGTCTGTTCAATGTGTTGTTTCAGTTCTGTTCATAATTCACAACTTTGGAGATGAAGTTGTTGGAGTGGTGCTCCAGGAATTGAGGCAGAGAGGGCAGAGCAGAGCACAGCTGCAGGTTATGGGATCTGGGAGACACGAAGAGAGAGGACAGGAGGGAGTGGGCTGGGGCTGGAGCAGATGAGCTGCATTATTTGGTACTTTCCAGGAGAAGCCAGTGAGGGCTTGTTTAAATCTAGCACTCAAATACATATCTGTCTCTTTCCCCCTTTCCCTTTCCTTTCCTGCTTTGTTCTTTCCCTGTTATTCCACTGCTACTAGGATTCATTCATTAGTAGGGGCTGCCATTGAGCTTATCATAGGTAGCCTTTTTTTTCTTTTTTTTTTTTTTTGACAGATAGAGTTAGACAGTGAGAGAGAGACAGAGAGAAAGGTCTTCCTTACATTGGTTCACCCCCAAAATGGCTGCTATGGTTGGAGCTATGCCGATCCGAAGCCAGCAGCCAGGTGCTTCCTCCTGGTCTCCCATGCAGGTGCAGGTACTAAGCACTTGGGCCATCCTCCACTGCCTTCCCGGGCCACAGCAGAGAACTGGACTGGAAGAGGAGCAACCGGGACAGAATCCGGCGCCCACATCGGGTGCCAGCGCTGCAGGCAGAGGATTAACCAAGTGAGCCACGGCGCCGGCCCTCATAGGTACTCTTTAATTATCAGACGCTACCTTTGTGCGTTTTTAGCACTTTCTAGACAAGAAAGAGGACCTGGAACACTTTACCTGCTTTTATTACTCTTCCTACCATCTGCTTTTTATGATGTGGTTGTCAAGAATTTTCATTATCTCTCTATCCTAACCTCCATACCACAGTGTTTTTTTATTTTAAACAGTCAAGACTTTATTTAGGTTTACTAACACCTTTACCAACACCTTTTTTTTTTTTATCATCTCTTTTTCTTTCTCTTGTTCCTTGTAGTTTAATATGGTTATCATTTGCTTTCATCCCAAAGATCTCTCTTTGGTATCTCTTGCAGTTAGGACTCATACAGTGAGTTTCCTCAGAGATGGTTTGTCTGACAATTATTTCAGTTCACTTTTATGTCTGAAAGTCTTGCTCTTTGGGTGTAAAACCTGAGTTGGCAGGCATTGTTTTCATCACTTTTAATGGGGTTTTCCATTGCCTTCTGCTGCTCATGGTTTCGCTCTTCTGAGATGATGCCACCATGCTCTCACTGCTTTTATGAGTTTCCCTTGATATTTGCTTTTTACCAGCTTTACTATAGCAGGCCCAGAGATGCCTCATCCTGCTTGTGGTTAGTAGGGTTTCTGGCATCTGTAGCTTGATACTTGCATTAATTTTAAATAATTAATAAGTAATATCACATCAAATGTTATATTTGACCCATTCTCTTTCTCCTCTTCACTTTTGGTATTTCAATTATGAAGAATATGGTCCAGTTTTCTGTTTTATTACCAAGATATTAAAATAGCATGACTGCCTAGAAAAAAAAAGTGACTTTCTAATTCCTGTCATTGTGGGAATTGCTGCTTAACTTGGAAAAAAAAATCCTGGGAAAGACGTGCAGCTTTCACGTGCTTACCTGGGAGAGAAACACATATGTAGGAAAGAGAAAACACTGTAAATGCTCAAGACTCCTCCTGGAAGACTTGAACTACTTCAAAACATGGGAGAAAAAGCAGTCCATATGTGGGTAAAAATCTCACATTTTATAATAAAACAAGACACCATTCTCCACTCCACCTATTAAATTTGTAGCAGTAAGGCTGGAAAGTAATAACTAGTTCCCAGCGTTGCCAAGGACTGTGAAGAAGAAATGGGACTTTTTGGCTATTTATTGACATGACTGTAAATTGGTGCAATCTTTGGAGGCAGTTTGGTAAAATGTGTCAACAGGCTCAGAACCACAGAGGCACTTTGTGTTGTGCATTCTCGCAGGAATTTCTCTTTCAAACATTACCACATACATGTGTAAATAAGAATTTTAATATTATTAGTTATAATAGCAAATATTCAAAACAATATGAATATCCAACTATTGGAGATAGTTGTTTAATTGTGATAGCTGTGGTTTAATTGTGAAACAATCAACTAAAGATGTTTTCATATGATATTTAATATCTAAAAGAAATGATTGTTCTATAATATAAAATGAAAACCTATGTAAGTATATTTACAGTACTTGTTTTAAAATGCTATATTAATGTACAGAAAGACTAGAAAGAAGGGTAATAATCTTTTATTGTGTTTGGGGGAGGAGATACTAGGTAATTTCTATTTTCTTTGAATTTTTCTGTATCTTCACAGTTTTCTACAATGAATATAATCAAATAATATAGTTGTAAAAAATAAAAGAAGGCTGTGTCCCTTCATGCTTTTCTGTATTTTTCATATTTTTTTGTGCCAATGTGGATGTTATCTACTCTTTCATCCTTCAGTTTAGGAAAATTCCTTCTATTATATCTTCTCTGCTAGTAACCCAGTAATTAAATTAATTTTAGTTATTGTGTTTTTCACTTCTAGAATGTCTGTCTGATGATCTTGTGCAGTTTCATATTCTCTATAGAAATTCTCCATCTTTCTATCACTTTTATTCAATCATAATAATTATGGTTGTCTTGAAATTTACATCTGACAATCTCAATCCCTAGATCATTCTCTCTCTCTCTCTCTTTTGTGTCTTTGTCTTTTCATGTCTTATTTCCTGGCCTTTCTGGTCATGATATTATTGATGAACAAATATTGTCCAGGACAGATCTTAGAGGGTTCTGGGTTTTGTCTTCTTCCAGAAAAGACTCAATTTTCTTTTGGCAGAGGGTAAATCCCATTGATTCGGGTGGTGCTGGGTTTGGGAGCTTGCCTGATTCTCCATTTCCCTTCCCTATACGGCTCAGCCCTTTGGAGTCCACTTGGAGAGCCTGACATGATTCCTGCCTTCTTTATGAGCACTGAGCCTTCAGGTTTTATCACCTTAGCTTTGTGAAACTGTCAACATCTACGCTTTGCTTGTGAGCCTCATATTTCTTGCTTTGATGGCCATTTATTAAGATAGAAAGGAATGACTCAGATATGGGCTAGGGAAATTAAGAGTTGATTATGAGGTTGTTAAATTTACAATGTCCATTAGACCAGTAAAAGGAAAGAGTAGGCTTCAACTGAATCTGCATGTCTGGAGTTCAGAAGTGACTTCCAGGGCGCTGTCTGGCTGCAGGTGTCTTTGAAGTTATGGGATTCGCTAAGGTCCTCTGTGAAATGAATAGGGATGGGGAGAAGAAGCGAACACTTAGATCCCAAAATTGAGAAAGTGAGACTGAAATGGAATTGGTCCTGAAGAAGGAGAAAAATCAAGAAATTGTGTTGCTTTGGAAGCCCATTAAAGAAGCTGGTTACATAGGCAAAAGATACACAGCAACACCTACAGCTACTGCTGAAAACCAGGGTAAAGCAAGGAGGAAGACTGATTTTGCATTTTGCAATACAGAAGAGCACAGTGACCTTGATGAATGTGGATGGAAAGTTTGGGGATGAGTGTTTCTGGAGGGTAGAGACAAAGAGAAGTGAGAAAATTGATTGGCGAAGTCCTCAAACCAGGCTGGAGCCCTGGCGTCATTGCTGCCAAAGCAAGACATGGGCTCAGACTCCCATGGGCTGCTGCAAAGCAGCCAGGAGGGAGGGTAGAGTTACAGACAGTGAGAGGGAGAGACAAAGAGAAAGGTCTTCCTTCCACAGGTTCGGACCTGTGCTGATCCGAAGCCAGGAGCCAGGAGCCTCCTCCCAGTCTCCCATGCAGGTGCAGGGGCCCAAGGACTTGGGCCATCTTCTACTGCTTTCCCAGGCCACAGCAGAGAGCTGGATTGGAAGAGGAGCAGCCAGGACTAGAACCGTCGTCTATTTGGGATGCCAGTGCTGCAGGTGGAGGATTAACCTACTGAGCCATGGCACCGGCCCCACACATATACTTTCTTGTTAAAAATATTTATTTGAATGGCAGAGCTACAGAGAGAGAGAGAGAAGGAGAGAAAGGGAGAGAGAGATCTTCCATCTGCTGGTTCACATCCCAAATGGTTGGGACCAGGCCAGGCTGAAGCCAGGAGTCAGGAGTTTCTTCTAGGTCTTCCACATGGGTATCAGGAGCCCAAGAACTTGAACCATCTTTCTCTGCTTTGCCCAGGCCATTAGCAGGGATCTGGATGAGAAGTGGGGCCGCTGGGACATGAACCAGAGCCTATATTGGATGTCACCATTGCAGGCGGCAGCTTAACCTGCTGCATCACAGCGCTGGCCCCCACAAATGTTTTCAGATTGTTTCATTGCTTCACTCTGTTTTTTTTTTTTTTTTATAAGAAGGCAACAGAGTGAGAAAGAAAGAAAGGAGGTGATTTAGAGAAAACTGAAGTGAAAGAACAATTGAAACAAACATCATAATAGAATGAGAATCTATTTGAAATTTGCAGTGATAAATTGAAAGTGCCACTGGTCAGTACAGCTATACTTTTTTTTTTGTCATGTTTCGCTAATGAAAAAGTTAAAAAAAAAGGTGACAATAGTTCTTTGGGAATTGTTTATTGCTAGATATGAAAGAGAGAAGGAGAAACAGGCAAAGGAATTAAGGTCTATGCATGGGAGAGATCATGATTAAAATGGTGGATTTTAAGCTGGTTCAACTGGGAGGTAAGGGCAGGAGGGAGCAACCACTGTGAAATGTATTGGAGTCCATGTATCATGGGAATAAAAGACTCACTGGTGTGGAGGGATTTTTCGGAAATGAGTAGAAAAGATAGCAAAGGGTTGTGATTTTAGAGTGTGTTATTTGACATCGGGTTCATCGATTCCAGTATGACCATGGACTGGGTGGCAAGGTGGACTGGAGGCCAGCAAGTTTCATGTGCAGAGCCCAAGAAGCTGAAATTCCTGGATGGGTGTTCTATGCAAGCTTTGAAATCATTAA